CCCCCCCCCCCCGCAGATGGCTGGGATTAGAAATTGAGGCTTACAGGGGCGCCTGGGTGGCTCAGTCGGTTGAGCATCCGACTTCAGCTCAGGTCATGATCTCACAGTTCATGGGTTTTGAGCCCCACATCGGGCTCTGTGCTGACAGCTCAGAGCCTGGAGCCTGCATCAGATTCTGTGTCTCCCTCTCTCTTTGCCCCTCTCCTGCTCATGCTCTGTCTCTCTCTCAAAAATAAACAGAAAGAAAGAAAGAAAGAAAGAAAGAAAGAAAGGAAGGAAGGAAGGAAGGAAGGAAGGAAGGAAGGAAGGAAGGAAGAAAGAAATCGAGGCTTCCCTCACAGGCTGGGGTCACCCCTCCTTTCCCTGCCCACCAGATGCTCTAGAGCGTATTCATACTGGGCTCTGGGCTGCGCTGCAGGTCAGTGAGTAGATTCATCTTGCTCTTTATACTTCGCTAAGGCTAAAATCACAGAGGATAGATGTTCTCTGAGCTCATCAACAGATGACAGGGAAGCTAGCCCAGGTGCAGACACAGGAGAACTGAGAAAGCAAAACTAAAATAAAACCCTTGCTACAGACAACAGAAACAGCAGAGGCAGGACGGTTGGAATCCAGAAATGACGAAGTGGGTCACTTTTCTGATGAGCTCCCGTTCCCATCACCCCGCCAAAGCCTTGCTGCATTCCTGCCCAGGGCCAGGATCTCCTCGGCCTCTCTTGCCCCTGCCCAGCGCCCCAGGGCACCACTGGCCTCTGGCAGTCGGTAGAGCTTCATGGTACGCTGCATGGTCATATTTCTGCTCAGGTGGGAGAACTTCACTTCAATCAGCTTCCGAGGGTTTAGGGACCGATGCCAGTACCTGTAGGGACACAAATGTCCTGTCCTCAGAGGATTCTGGCAAGTCCCAAGGAGGGCGATGGCATGGAGCTCTCCAGATGGCCAGCAGGTGGCGTGAGAGACCCGTCAAGGCCCTATAAGCGCCAGTGGCGGCGCTGGGCTCGCCAACATCCCACCAGTAAGAAGAGCAGATCTGCCACAGCTCTTCCCGGATTTCCTATTTGTCTTTCCTGATTTCAAAAGCCACTTCTCTGTTACAGCAGTTGTCTGGGAAGAGCAACCGTCACTTGTGGAATGAAGTCCATGGAAAACCTTCTAGGTCTCGGAATGTTTATCCTCCTCCTCCCTCCTCTACTGCCTTCGCCTGCTGTTTCTCTTCTGAATTTGAGGCAGAGACTGTCCCTGGCTCACACGGGGATCCGACATGTCTCTTTGGCCCACATAATATTCAGAACAAAATTGAGCCAACCACCGAACACCTCTGGACATTTACCATCAAAATCCAGATTTGGGCTGGTCCTTAAAAGCTAAAGCAAATCCCCAGCAGACTGCCCTCCCTTTTCCAAAAGGCAGGAATCAGTGGGAGCTGAGAATGGCTAAGCCCTCTGGACAGGGCACCCGCTCTCCTGTCTGTGCCTACAACCTCCCCCTTCACTCTTCTGTGCTCCCTACCTGGCTTCCGTGGGCGCCCACCTGCCACCTTATCAGACAGGAGACATGCTCTGGGGCGGGCACCAACTTAGCGCCAGCGCTGCGAGTCTGAAGCACGAGCTCCTCAGCTGGAGTGGGCACGCCTGGACTTCGAGCACCCTGTAAGAGATCTTTACCTGCAGGTGCCAACAGGCTTTGGTAATACCACGCCGGCAGTGTAAACAGCTTGGAAGATGCCCTCCAGGTGAACTCGCCGGGTTATCTCCCGGATCAGGACCGGAGCCACCCTCTTGGAGCGCAGCTTCTTGTGGACACACAGGAAGTTGATCTCCACCATCTTCTTCTCTCTGGAGAGAAAGGGAGAACTCCCAGTGACCAGGCTTTTAATGGGGAAGATACTCCCTCAAGCTCCTGGAGCCACCGTGTAGGGAGGGGGGCCTTCAGCTCAGGCACGCGTCCTGCCACCACCTGCACCCGACAGCTGGCACGTGGAGTCCCTCGACCCCACCGCTGCTCTGCTGCACCAGGCAAGGAACCCACTCCCTTCAACCAGACCGCGCTTTCCATGGGAGGTGGGGCTCAAGCAAACCCCTTTATCTGAAGGAACCACCAGGATCTACCTCATGGATCCCCAATAGCAGGATGCCCACCTTTAGCTGGCAGGGCACCTCAGAGTAAGTCAAGGGCTATCCTGGAATTTCAAGGGTTCTGACTCCCACTAGAATCCGAGGCCTGTAAGCCCAGAAGACTGCAGCAGATAGTTCTGATGTTTCCAGGGAAAATGTGAAGAGCAGAGCTCGGAGGTCCCGTGAGGGTTTGGATGTTGAGTCACACTGGCTCCGGCCTGTTTCTGAAGCTGTTCAAGTGCACCACCACGTGACGGGTGCAAGCACAAACACTGAGTCCCTGTGCAGGTAGCACGCTGGTCCTCAGGGTGGACCCCGTTCAGCCCAGGGCACAAATGAGAGAACCAGCAACAACTCAGAGCAAAAGACATGGTTCCTATGATGAATTTCTATCCCCAGGACCTGAGTTCCCTCCCTTCAAGGGATCTTCACCCTTCCTTTTGTGGAAGGTACGTGTATCTTTTCTTCCCTCGCTCCCAGACCAAGCAGGATGGTGGGGATGTGGGGCGTAGGGGGTGGTGCTGGTGCTTACGTGTCATAGATGTGGATGTTTGCTGGGATGGCACTGATGAACCCAACCAGTTTCCGACTTGAGACCACTCGAACCCCGCAGTGCCACTGGGGGAGCCAGCCAGGCGGCCGGAGAGCCCTAGAAGAGAGACAGAGGCCATGGTGCTGCTGACCAGTGGGCTGGGCAGGCTGCTTGGGCTCCATAGCTGAGTCTGTTCTAAGCTCCTGCTACACCTCCCTGGGGGTTACCAGCTAAATTCTCCATAGGGCCAAGCCCTCCGGGACACACATGGGATTGAGCCAGAGCCCCTTCCTGCAGCTCAGCCCATTTGGCTTACTTACCCACCCAATCCAAGCTGTCACACTAAGGACTTCGCACCCGATCCAATTTCTTTGTGCTCACTCACCATGACAGCTTACGCTGGAGGACGGGCCTCACTGGCTCAGACTCCAGTGGGTCCTGTGGTTGGGAGCAGATCACAGAGAACCCAGAGCTCTGGTCTCCACCTGTCCCCCGGACACCATCACCCCCTCTTTCTGCCTGCCCAGTCTTCCCTTTTCAGGCAGTCATCCCTCTCCATTTCAGCCTCAGGCCTCTACATTCCTGGACACTAAACATGGCCCCAGGAGGCTGGATGGCTCAGCCAGGCAAGGCCATTTTCATATAACCGGGCATGCTCAGCAACTGGATAGAAAAGGACTTTTCTTTCTTTTGAAATCTCAGTAGGTCTCGTCCCTCCTTCCCCTCTTACACAAAGTCACCACACAACACACCAATCTCTTCTGGGTACTGATGCCACAAAGGCCTCCCTCACCCAGTCATTCTACCTTAAATAAGGTTTTGATTCTTAGCTCCACTGAAAGCAACCCTCTCTCCTTCAGATGTGGGGATTCAAAATAGACACACTAGCTTGCGTCTAAAGGCTGGTTCTTAGCAAGGATGAGAAAGTGGGCCTGGTGCGGTGGCCCTGCCCCACGCCCACCCGAGCCAGGAAGCCCTCACAGCTCACCACAGCAGAAAGTCCGGGGAGTAGTCGAACCGGAACATATTGTCATCATCCTCCACGTAGTTCTCATTCAGGAGGCCATAGAGTTCTTTCAGCTGCAGAGAGACGAGGGGCAGCCTCAGAACCACTCTGCCCGACATCCTGGGGCTCAAAGCTTTTCGGAGGGACAAGGTAAACTATCAAAAACAATGTTTCATCTCATAAACCCTTTTCACTCCAGGCATGGCACGGACTCTTTTGGAACAAGCACCCCAGCTGTACTAGGAAACTGAGCCACGGAGAAGTAGAGCGGCTGTGACCCAAGTACACAGAGGGGCAGGGCAAGAATGTCAATGTCAGCCAACTAACCAGCCACGGCGTCGTTACAACAGGGAACAGATGAAAAGATGAACGAGACAAATGAACACATGGCAGTAGGGTATTACTCTAGGGAGCTACAGAGCTTAACTCTCCACCTGCCCGAGAAGGCAAGGGCTATTTAATGGGGCATCTCAGGCAGGCCCCAGAGGTAAAAGACAGGGGACCGGGGTGGGAGAGGGGTGTGTCTGCTCCGACCTGCTTTGATTGGCTCTCAACAGAGTCCTTGAGAAAGTCTTGAGTAGTAGCTGTCTCCGTATGACAGCAGGGCTCACTCAAAGTGGCACTCAATCCACAATGAGGGCTGCCCAGGCCTACTCACCACACCGCGGTCCCCCAGGTCCAAGGCATCCCAGGTGAAGCCCTGGGGCAGGGTGTAGGGCTCCTGGCGGATGTTGTCTTTGTCAGGCTCCACGGGGCCATGGGTGTTCACCACTTCTCCTGGAAGAAGAGCGCAGAGCCTCACCCTCTGTCTCCCGGGGGGAGGCAAGCGGGGGCTCAGCTTAGACATCGACCGCAGCAAATTCCTCCTGTCCCCAGGAGCCCTCCATCTGAAGAACACTCTGTGCTTGGCAACTGCAGACCACCTTTCCAGCTACCCTTCGTCCCCAACTGAGAGCCAACTCGTGGCAAAGCTTCAGAATAATCACTAAGATCCAAGGTGCTTGGTTTTTTGGAAATTCTTTTAAATCTCCCTTCGGTTACTAAATGACAAACATTTATCTTGACTAATTTGGCTTCCTGCCTCCCGGCTGGTGTAAAAACAACTCTCATGGTCCTGGCTCAGGCCCATCAACCTGGATGGATTTATAAGGAGTTGCAACAAGGCTGCTTTTGTGTCAACAGCAACAATACACCGGGCCCACTGCTGAACCAGATGATGGCATCGAGGCGCCAGGCTCAATCTTGGCCCTGACAGCCTTGGCTTTCAGCAACATGGGCCAGTTAACTGCTGCCGCCAACTTGGCCCCTCAGTGTTTACAGAGTCCTGCGAGTATCTTTAGGCTCAATCACTGAATCCACACAACGCTGCCAGGAAGTTACCCTTGACATGACATCCCCACCCTAGACGGACACCCCTCCTCTGTGGAGTGTGTGGGGAGCGCTTGGGGGTGTCAGACGAAACAGCCCTGATACCCGCACACAGCCCAAATGGACTCATGTGAGACACGTGAACAAATCGACCACTTAATTTTGGCCCTTGGAATTATTTAGTGTCTACAATTCATAGCTCATTCATACTCACAACTGGAAGAAGGCAACGTTTAATGTGTTTTGAAAACTGAGCCTTCAAAAGGGACCCACACTGCTTGCTCCCAGCATCAGGCTCTGTACACACTAGGCACTCAATTTGGGCTTTTCCTGACTTTCAGACCCCTGGCCCAAACATGTCATTCTAATGTGTAACAGGCAGCTGCAGACCCTCCCCAGTCATGGACCCATGGGGCAGGGATAGCGGAAACGGCCAGCTCAGGCTATGAGCTGAGGACAACACTGTTTGGGACTGACCATCTAACTTTCTCTCACTCAACACATTTCGTGAACAACACCCTGCTTCGGATGTCACGCACTGGGATATAGCAGGAAAAAGACAAGGTCCCTGTTCCCACGAGATGTCCCATCTTCTGGTGAATATTTCATCAACAAGTCATTACCAACATGCTAAGAGTCACAAACTGGAAAGCGCAAGCAACAGCGAGGACACATAGCAAGGAAGCGTCCAGCTACCTCCTATTTACATCAGGCTCCCCAGTAGGTTTGCTTGGGAAAGAGGTTATATTTTTCTTCCCTAGTTTAGAAACTGGCCTTCTGATTTATTCATAAAGTGGCCCTTGTGAATTAATTGAATATAAGTCAATCTAATTCTAATTCACCACCATGCAAAATTTTGGGAGGCTACAAAGTTGAGGGCTAGACCCTTGGAAAGTACTAAGATGTCTACGCTAGTCTTGTTGAGGTGCTGGTTGATGTTCCCGGCCTTCTATTGAATTTATACCCTTTCCAAAATACATTTAACTCCAGAAACTTTATTTATTTGCGGGAGAGCGCAAATTGGGGACAGGGGCAGAGGGAGAGAGAGAATCCCAAGCAGGCTTCACGCCCAGCACAGAGCCCAATGTGGGACCCTGGGATCATGACCTGAGATCATGATCTTGAGAGTTGGGACACTCAACCAACTGAGCGATCCAGGCGCCCCTAACTTCAGAATCTTTTTATTTTTTTCTAAATGATTTCCATGGACAAGATAGTGGTGGTCTTCCCCACTGTACTACAATAATCTCAAGGCTAAATCTTTTCAGGGGTACCTGGGTGACTTAGTCGGTTAAGCATCGATTTTTTTTTTTAATGTTTATTTATTTTGAGAGAGAGAGAAAAAGAAAGAGAATGAATGAGCATGCCCGTGCAAGAAGGGGAGAGGCAGAGAGAGGGAGAAAGAACCCTAAGCAGGCTCCCCGTGCTGTCAGCACAGAGCCCGATGGAGGGCTAGAACTCAAGAACCGTGAGATCATGGGGCACCTGGGTGGCTCGGTTGAGCATCCAACTCCTGATTTGAGCTCAGGTCATGATCTCATGGGTTTCATGGGCTCCAACCCCACATCGGGCTCTGTGCTGACTCTACAAAGCCTGCTTGGGATATCCGTCCTCTCTCTCTCTCTCTCTCTCTCTCTCTCCATCCCTCCACAGCTCAAGCTCTGTCTCTCTCAAAATAAATTAAAAACAAAACAAAAAACAAAAAACTTTGAAATAAGTTAAAAAAAAAAAAAAAAAAAAGAACCATGAGATCAAGACCTGAACCAAATTCAAGAGTCAGATGCTTAACCAAATGAACCACTCAGGCACCCCAAGTGTCTGACTCTTGATCTTGGGTCATGAGTTCAAGCCCCACACTGAGCTCCATACTGAGTGTGGAGCTTACTTAAAAAAAAAATAGGGGCACTTGGATGGCTTACTCGGGTAAGCATCCGACTTGGGCTCAGGTCACACGAACTCACGGCTTGTGAGTTTAAGCCCTGTGTCAGACTCTGTGCTGATGGCACAGAGCCTGTAGCCCGCTTCAGATTAGGTCTCCCTCTCTCTCTTTTGACCCTCCCCTGCTCACGCTCTCTCTCTCGCTCTCTCCCAAAAATAAACATTAAAAAAAAAAAAAAGGCTAAATCTTTTCACTTATGCTGGTTACTAGGCACTCTAAGCAACAAGCATTTCCATTCACTCCTTCATCACATGTTCATGGAGTCCTAGAATGTGCTAGTTCTGGGGTGGGAGCTGATGAATACAACAGCATAGGTCCTCATCATCACGGGCACCTGCCACCCAGCAAGATGAGGGCCCCCAACAATGACAAACCAGTTCTCCCAGGTTGCCTCAAGGCTGTTTGATATCTTGGAGACATAGCTGACAAAGCAGAGTTACAGGAAATACTCAGAAAGCTTCACAGTCTAGGGTGCCAACGAAGCGCAGAAGTGGCCAGAGCCTCCTGCAATGTTCTCCTGCCAGCCTAGCTTCAAGGCTTCCACCTGCAGGGAGTGACCTATCCTCCAGCTTCTCAGGGCTCTTGAGTGCCTCCTGCTGCGTCGGTGTGGAAGGCTACCTCAGAGCATGCTGGGAGTGCAGCCAATGATCTCTAGACCATCCAAACCAAGTAGCCAACTGAGGATGCTGGAAACTTTAAAAAAGAAAACCCTGGATTTTCAGAGGGTTTCTTTCTGTACCCTTTCCCCACAACGTTCTGTCTTCCAACATCAAAGATTCAAAACCACACAATGCAGCAACCATGAAGGACTCGGAAACAAAGAATGTGAGATCTGGGAGACTTTATCTTATTTTTTTTTTTAATTTTTTTTTACATTTATTTATTTTTGATAGAGACAGGGCACAAGTGGGGGAGGGGCAGAGAGAATGAGACACAGAATCTGAAGCAGGCTCCAGGCTCTGAGCTGTCAGCACAGAGCCGACGTAGGGCTTAAACTCACAAACCATGAGATCATGACCTGAGCTGAAGTCAGACGCTTAACCGACTGAGCCACCCAGGCGTGCAGAGACTTTATCTTATTTTTAAATGTTTACTCATTTTTGAGAGAGAGAGAGAGAGAGCTCGTGTGTGAGTGGGACAGGAAGAGACAGGGGGACAGAGGATCCCAAGAGGGTTCTGAGCTTACAGCAGAGAGCCCGACACGGGGCTCGAACCCACAAACTGCAAGATCGTGACCCAAGCAAAGTTGGACGCTTAACTGAGCCACCCAGGCACCCCCAAATTTGGGAGACTTTTAACCAAACGAATAGGGCATGGATGAAGGTAAGAGTGGGGAGGTTTCTCTCTCGGAGCCCAGAGAAACTACGTACAAGTCCAAGTCCTCCCTTGGGTAGCTACTTATAAAAACTAAGTAGAGCATGAGAATCTTGATCTCGGGGTTGTGACTTCTAGCCCCACGTTGGGTGTAAAGGTTACTTAAAAATAAAATCTTTAAGGAGCATCTGGGTGGCTCAGTCAGTTAAGCGTCCAACTTTGTTTTAGGTCACGATCTCATGGTTCGTGAGTTCCAGCCCCATGTCGGGCTCTGTGCTGACAGCTCAGAGCCTGGAGCCTGCTTCAGAGTCTGTGTTTCTCTCTCTCTCTGCCCCTCCCCTGCTCGCACACTCTCTCTCTCTCAAAAGAATAAACATTAAAAATACATTTTTTAATAAATAAAATCTTAAAACACATTAAATACATAAAAAAAATTAAAACTAACCTAAGAGTGACGAGATTCCAATCCACGGAGATGAGGGGGAAAAGAGAGGGTTCCACATGCCTCTACTACAGTGGGAAAGTGGGGACTTTGAAAAAGTAGAAGGACATGATCTGAAAAGTTTATTTGGGAACAGAGTTATGCTTGTATTTGGGAACACAGAACGGTCACACAGCCCAAAACATGCTATTTAGAAGGCCCTTTGTGGTGAACTTAGGATGGCTGTAAACTTCTCAAGAATTCCAGGTCTCTTCAGTGGAATACAACCTAATCTTACCTCTCCCAACAAGGTGGGGAGTAAACAGTACACTTGATAGGCATGATCACTGGCCCCACCTCAGGGGAAAAAATTCACAGCAAGAAGCTGTAAGTCGCACTACCCTCAGGATACTTGGAAGAACTAGGCTGACATGTCAGCCACACGACCGACCGAAGCCTGTAATGTGGTGCTTTCTGCCAGGCTAACTCACTAAAACAAAGGAATCCTTCATTTGGGCCTGACCGTGGACCTGAAAGGCAGACTGGTCAGGTGCTCAGGGCACCGGCCCTTCCCCAGCACCCCACACTGTAGATGGCCCAGAAGGCACACCCAGAAGAAATACAGCTGACCTCGCTCCACCTTCCTGAAAGCGTCAGAAAGCTCTCAGGAGCAAATGTGTGGCTTTCTTGTGAACTTTCTGACAACCCATGGAGCACTCTCTATATTTACAGGAGGAGAAACTGAGGCAAACAACACAGTGTAACAGGACTAATGAGGAACAGAAGTCCATGGATCTCAATTTACCTCTTTACTGGGTTCCATGTCTATGAAGAATGAAGCTAAGTTACCCATTTGCAAATTCCTAACGAAGAGTAAAACCAGACCAAAACCCCCAAGCCCCATCTGAAAACTGGGCCAGGATGCCTGGCAGCCACCACAAAATGCTGTCGTGCATCTCACTCAGAAGCGGAGTGTGCTGCTGTCTGCATTCTTCCTGCTCCTTGGTGGGGAGTAGTCCCTGGGACCGGTTCCTAGTAATGTCCTAGTAACAGCATTGCTGTGATCCAAAGCCTTCTTGGAGGGCTTAGCCAGTGGGCCTGGGGCCTGGCTGACCTGGGCAGCCTGACAAACAAGCAGGTGGGTCGGGACAGGGTTCTAGAATAATGCCCACTGCCGATTCACCGCTCCTCACCATCCAGGCAGTGTTTTTGCTTTCCACCCCCTGAGGGGCACACCTCAGCTTGCTTCTGGATTACGATTACACTGTCCAAGAACTGCATCTGCTCTAGAGTAGTTTCTGAAACTTCCAAAGTGGACATAAATCCCCTGCAAGTTCGAACTCCACAGGTCTGGGGTGAGGCCTCAGAGTCTGCATGTCTACAAGCTTTTAAGCAATGCCCACTCTGCTGGCCTGAGGATCACACTTTGAGTAGCACCTCCCCGTGTCGCATACTTCCCACCTCTGGAATAGATAACCCCCGTTACCCATTCCAGCTGCCCCTTTCCCCTCTCCCCTCTCCAGTCTCTGGCGCTACCCTGCCCCTGCCCCCTCCTCCAGACCAAACATCCTGGAGGCGATCAGTACATGCACAACCTGAAGGCCACTTACATTTGGTATCTGAACCCATGTTTTTTCAACATACTTACTTTCTCAGTCACAGAGAAAATAGAAATCGGGCCCAGAATTGTGACGTAACCACTCCAGAAACTTTTTGTCAACAGCAGCATCTGAAGTTAGCCATCAACGTTAGCTGTGGCTTGGTCTCAGCAGGAATCTCTAACTCGCCTGTTATGTCATCTCTTTACATTTTCTGCCTGTCCCACCCCTTTCAGAGTTCAGTATAGCTGTTTTAAAGAGTGCCAACCAAACCTGCACAGGGTATTTCCAGGGGTTGAACAATTGTGGTTAAGCAAATGTCAAAATTACCTGCAGTTGGTAAGCGTGCACTGGCTGACAAAGGGAAGAGGCTGGGGACTCAGCCCAACCCAGGATGAGACATCTGCCCAGATAAACAAGACAGCCCCTCTGTAAAACTCTTTGTAGGAAGACAGACCCATAGGCACACATCTCCACTGACCGTGTGCCAATATACTGTTTTTCTTTGTGACTTACAGTAGATGACGATGGACTAAAAGAATCAGTATTTGTTCTCAACATGAACTCCTGTGAAATAGTAAGGTCCCTGAACATTAGTCTTTTCCATTCTTTTTTTTTTTTTTAAGTAGGCTCCAAACCAGGGATGCCTGGTTAAGTGCCTGTTAAGCGTCTGACTTCAGCTCAGGTCATGATCTCATGGTTTGTGAGTTCGAGCCCTGAGTCAGGCTCTCTGCTGTCAGCGCAGACCCTTCTTCAGATCCTCTGTCCCCTCCTTCCCCCTCTGGCCCTCCCCTGCTTGTGCTTGCTCTCTCAAAAATAAATAAACATTAAAAAAAAAAAAAAAAAAAAAGGTAGGCTCCACACCCAGTGTGGAGCCCAACTTGGGGCTTGAACTCACGAATGACCCTAAGATCAAGACCTGAGCTAAAATCAAGAGTAGGATGCTTAACCGAATAAGCCAGCCAGGCACCCCTAGTCATTTCTATACTACATTTTAAAGACCACCTTCTAAAAATAACCACGAAGGAAGTCCAGGACTCTACTGTCCTCCCTCACAGATTCAGCAAGGCATCCTAAGCACGGCTAAGATACATCCCTCGCCCTCACCAGGGGAAGAAAGCACATACATACCCAGTTTGGGGACAGGCTGCGTGTCCCAGAACTGGTAGCTTCGCTTGCTAGCCTCCTCCATGGTTTTGGCAGGTCCCTGACCCACTGAAAACAGTTCAATGGCTTTCTGTATTTCCTGGATCCTCTCTGCTGGCAAAGAGTTCATCTGGACAAGACAAAGTTGGGGAGAGAAAAGGCCCATTATGTTAACAAGCACTTTTGATTAATCACTAATTCAGTAGTTAAGGGGTGCAACTCAAGGAAGGGGCGTGGTTCCTCCATCCCAATCCCAGAGGTCAGGTGTCATACGACAACTGGGAAAAGAGTGATTGGCGATGGGCTATTTGAAAGGTGGGTGCTTCCCACTGGGTTTCTCCTTCTTGGTCTCATGATGTCTGATGGCAAAAGGAATACGTGCTCAGTGTCAAATTTCAGACAATGCAGAAATGTGTAAAACATACAGAAAGTAAAAAACCAACAAACCCACCCCTTAAATATAATCTTTGTCATCAACAGTCTTAATTTAGGAGGTAGGGTGAAAAGAGGCAAATATAATTTCAGGCTTTTTTGCATGCAAGCTCCAAACACACACACACACACACACACACACACACACACACACACACACACTTTTCAAAAACTAGAACTGGATCATATGGTATTATTCTACAAGCTGTTCTTTAAACACTATATCTTAGAGACCCTTCCATGTGGACACACAGACCTGCTTATTCTAACAACTGAGTCCACTTTGTGCCTGGACCATACATAGTATATTCAGTGAGTCTCTCACCGATGGGCATTTCTGTGGTTTTGTTCTTCAGCTTTACACACAATGCTGTAATGAACCTTCTTGTACATCTATTTTTGTTCACTGGGATACATATTTCTGTAGGAGGAAGCCTAAGAAAAAGGCGTGCTGGGTCAAAGGATATGCACATTTGAAATTATATATCATCAACTTGCTCTCTAAAAACAGAGTATCAACTAAGAGCGCAATGAACAGTGTGTTCATTTAACTAATATCAATTAATAACCAAGTGAGCACGTTTCTCCTTACCCTCATCATAAGATTTGCCAAATCTTAAAACTCTACCAATCTAGGAGAAAAAAAAATATTACTTTAATTTTCTTTCATTCATTGTGAATTTAACCATCTTTTCATACACTGATGGAACAGTTTTAATTTTGTAAACAGCCTGCTCATTTCATTAGTTTAAACTGGTTCATGTATTACAAATATTTTTCCAGCCTGTTGTTTATCTTTTTAACTTTTACAGAAAAGTTTTAAATTTGTCAATTTTTCTCTTATGGTTTCTGGGTCTTATGTCAGGCTTACGATTGTATAAAAATACTCATAATTTCTTCTGATATTTTTACTTTACCGTTTTATTTTCCCATCTAGATAGAGGACAGGGAGAACATAAACGAACATGTTTACAGTGCATCTTTCCTGGAGACAGGACTACGAGTGATTTTCATTTTCTCCGTCTTATTGTTTTTCCTAGATTCTTCACTGCTACCTGCTCTAGCATGCAGGTGCTGTGTAAATGGTGTTTTGTTAAATATTTCTAATTTCAAAGTGAATCACTTTGATACATGCTCGAGCTCAAATCCCCCTGGAGTCTTCTAAATGCCCACCCCCAGACAAACAATGAAACAAAAGTCTCTAAAGCCAAATCACGGGCTTGGGCTAGAATCCCTGACCCAGAGACGTGGCTGAGCCACTGCTCTCATCTTAAAAACGAGGAAGACCCCCACCTCCCTAGTAGGGATGTTGAAGGTTTGGGGTTAATTTAAATGAAGCACCGGGCGAGAACCTGGCCAACACGGTGGTCAATAACGGTGGGGTGTGGTTTTTTTTTTTCATAGTGGATTTGATATTGAGAATGGTAAAAAATTACTTGAAGCCATTTCTCAATTACGTAGGAGATTCAAGATGGAGCGTGACATTCGTGGCACAAAACACAGTGGGTATACTGGAGAGAGACTGGATTCCTTGTGAGGGTTAGACACTGTTTTGGAGGCAATTCGTAGAGAGGAATTATATGTTTAAGCTTCTCCTGGGGTCTACTCAGAAGGGGGCAGCACTTCACCTGAAATAAAAGGTGCTGGTGTTGTGTTGTGTTGTGTTTTGTAATGCTGTTCTTTTAAGAAACCAACCAATCCCTCCCCATACTTCTGAATTTCAGGTCAGTGTGTCAGTCTTAGGTTTGTAAGGTCTAGGCCAGTGGTTCTCAACTGTGGGACTCACAGGTTCCGTTACAATGACCATGGCGCTAAGAGAATGCTTGCAATATATAAAGGTTGGCCTTCAAAAGAACAGGCCTTTTCTTCTCCCACTGGCGAGGACTTGAGACAGAAAAGACTGAGAACCACTGCTCGAGGAGGCAGGGGCCGTTCTGACAGAAGTGCTCTATGGCACCTAGCACAGCACCACATGCAGCTATCTGTACCTGTACATACTGAGGGGGCAACATGCCTGGGGGTCAGTGTCTAACCTGCTGCATCTTTTAAGGTACGGACAGAAGTTTCATCACCTAGGTCTAGGGCAGCAGAGGGCAGCAGCGGGGTCCAACTCCTTGATCCTGAAGTAATGCCAGTGGAGACTGTCAATCTGAATTGTTCCTATACATTCACCCCCAAACTCTTTAGTCTGAAAAAGCAACTCTCTCAGTCACAAGAAAACAGAGCCTCCTTGTTACCTTCACAGGCTGATCCTGGGCTGAATCTGTCTCATTGCCTTTCTCTTTCTTCTTTTTTTGTTTCTTTTTCTTCTTTTTGGCTCCAGTGTCATTGGCTGGACTCAAACCACTGTAAGACAAAGTAAATACTGATGCAGGGTTTTTTAAAAATCATCTGTTTTGAGCCACACTGACAAAGAGCTTTCTGTGGAGCCAGACCTTCCTTAATCAGGCCTGTTGGCTTCAGAAGCAGACCAGAGAATCCAGGTCCCAAAGGGGCATTTGGAGGACACCAGCGGACACAGCTCTCCTCACTCCCACCAGCTCTGGGGGTGGTGGGAGTGGGGCCTGCGCAAGAAACGTCCTATTTGTTTGGAAGGAACTTTTCAATTCTTGTTTCTATTTTATGTGTGTTTTTTCTCCAGATTGCCAGGGTGCTGGCTCCAGAGGCGAATGAATTGTTAGCAGGGCATTCATACCACCAATACTTCCTTAGAGCCCTGAATTTAAAATGATGACAGCCCATAGCAGTCTTTTTGGAAAGCTTCCTCACCCCCACTCCCACCCTCCCACTGCAATTGGTCTAGTGAGCTTCCCCAGCTGGATCTAAAGCTCAAGGCGGTGCTGGAAAGGGAGGAAGGAACGAGGAAAAAGGCAGTTTTGCGTTGCTACGATCTGTGTCCAAGCCAGGAAGACAATCGCGAGAACTGCCTACATCAAGCCTGCAGGACACAGGACGACGATCAGCTGGTTCAGGCTGCGTGATTACCCAGAACTGGCAAAACCCAGTACTGGGGATCCGGGGAAAACAACAATGAAGCACCCAGCCACTCCTGCCACAAAGAGATTACATGAAACATGCCTGTGAGCCTACTAAAGGCGACTTCCTTGTGCTGTTTCCCTCTGCGTGACACACCCAACGAATGCAGCAAAAACAGTCTCTTAGCCAAATTTAACCGTCTCCTACAGCCTTTTAACATTGTTTTCTATCAATATCTTCACTGACACACAAATCATGTACTATACTGGGCTTCTTTGACATTTTCCATTCATTTGCTCCTTAATATTTTGTCCCAATTCTTTTTGATTTCTGGGTTTCCTTTATTTTATCTTTGTAATGGGTTTCCTTTATTTTATCTTTGTATTGGGTTTCCTTTATTTTATGGGTGAATTTTAAGGCTCGCTTTGCATCTAGCTTTGCTCATTATGGTTGTACAGTTGACCCTCGAACGACATAGGGGTTAGGGGTGCCAATCTCCCACACAGTCAAAAATCTGCATGCAACTTTCAATTCCCCAAAGTCTTAACTACTAATAGCCTACTGTTGATGAGAAGCCTTACTGATAACATAAAGTCAATTAACACAGATTTTGTAGTTATGTGTATTATACACTGTATTCTTAAAATAAAGTAAGCTAAAAAGAAAGAAAATATTGTCAAGGAAATCCTAAGGAAAACACATGGATAGTGCTGTACCGTTACAAGTTTGCGGACCCATTGGTTCAAACCCGTGCTGTGCATGGGTCACCTATGGCTGGCGTCTGCCATGTCTAAACTGATTTTGGCATTGTCAGCCTGGGAGCGATGCCTAAGGCAACTCTACCATCTTCGTTGGAACTCTTCCATTAAAAACTCAAAATGAGCAGTCCCACCCGAGACTACACTGAGCCCTAATCTGCAGGATCAGCTAAGCGCAGGGGGTTTGCTTTATATTCTAGATAATCAATTTTCAAAGAATTAAAATAGCATAAAATGTTTTCCATGCCATCATGGCAAATTCCATCTAAGCTTTATTTTGTAATTCAGAAAGTCTTCCTGGTCTTAAATGCCTTGGGGTGATTATGAATATTAATTTTCCTCTCACAGCAAGTGGTACTGTAGAGGGAGAAGGCAACCTACAGCCACGTGCTGCCATTTCCTGTTGGAGATGTAGGAGCACTGGCGTCTAGACTTCATGACCTTATATGTGGACAAAAGTTACCTCCAGCCTTTCCTGGATCTCCCTGACTTCATAATCTTTCTACATCATCCTAAACTCTGTTCAGCTGTGGGACTTACCTCTGTGAAAAGGGTTTCCATGCTAGAAAGTGTGTCCTTCCCATGCTAGAAAGCCTACAGTGACAGCAGCCTCTTATCCTGGAATGTATCAAGCCCAACTTTTCAGGCCCAGAGCCTTCAGTTCCCAACTAGCTCATTCACTCTCACCTTGCCCTGCTCTGTGATAACTGCCTACACCCATGTGCCAGGCCTCTCAATGCCCCTGACATAGGGAGACTACGGAGTCAGGTCTACCAAAGGCTGGAGGTTACTTTAGTCCAAGGGTAAGGTCATGAAGTCAATATGCAAGTGCAACTCCTAGGTATTATCTTTTTTTTTTTAATTTTGTTTTAAGTTTATTTATTTTGAGAGAGACAGAGAGAGCGTGAGCAGAGGAGGGGCAGAGGCAGAGAGAGAGAGAGAGAATATCCCAAGCAGGCTCTGCAGGGTCAGCACAGAGCCTGACGTGGGGCTCGAACTCACAAAACTGTGAGATCATGACCTGAGCCGAAACCAAGAGCAGAGGCTTAACCAACTGAACCACCCAGGCACCCCTCTAGGTATTATCTTAATGAGACACAGAATGCATAACATGAAATAAAGACCAATAAAATTCAGAGCGGGGATAAGGTGAACTCCTTAAAACCAGATGCTCAGCAAAACCCTCAAGGCCATGGCAAAGAACATTAACCAGGAAGTCATTTATGGCCTAAAGAAAAAATTTTCCACTTAATAATTCAATGATGTTATCATATACAGGCCTATTCGCAGCCTATAACAACTTTAAGTGGTTTTTAAATTCCAGACATACTCTCACTTCATTCTCAAGATTATATAAAGCATTATGAGGTTTAAAAGCTGGTTGATTTAGGAAACAAAGCAGTATCCCACTGTTGATACAATTTGTAAGTCCTCATTCATTTCAGCTTATGGAATGAGTTCCCTAGTTCCTGTCTATGAATTACCATAAAAAATATTTTTTCAAAAGTTCTGTGGATAAAAAAGGTCACGGTGAAGAAGTGCTGTGTATTAACCAACTTACTAAACACAGTTCCACGTAAGGAAAATAGAAGAGATTACTTCCTCCGACTTTAGAAATCTTTACAAGAATGCAAAATCACTTAAAAACTATCTATCTTCCTGCTTTTGCTCTGCTATTCAGTGCAGACACTTCTGTGTAACCATTGCCTCACGGACCCCATTTTTGTGGAAGGATCTTAGACTGAGCACTTGTTCTGTTTTATGCATCACCAACATACATGTCTGACAAACTCTAAGACTCAAACTACAACCAGAAAGCAAACTTCATTTCCCTTGTACTGCCTTGAATTTGCACATGTACCTACTGAGCAACAATCCTGTTTCAACTTGTACGTCAAGCATACAGACAGATGAAGAACAAAGGGAAGTTAAAAGCGAGAAGAGTCATTTTCACTGAGCTGCCAGGTACCGAGCTATATCCATGAGAACACATTATGAGCTCACCATGGTCTTACAGTCAACAACCCAGACAGGATGACAATGGACTCAGAGAAGAGATTTCCAAAGAAATCCAAAGGGTTTCCAAAGGGTTAGTTTTCAAGCTGATTATAGCAATTTTAACTATTCATAAGAAACCAAGCTCAGAGGCCTTGTAAGTCTTCAAGAAGTGTCCTAAGAAGCCAATACCATTTCAGAGAATAGCTTCAATGTGGATTTGGGGAGAACCAAATCAGAGGACCCCACTGAAGCAGGCTAGTCCTTCTCTAAGAATTCAGCATCATTTAAAAAGGGACCTGACGGCCATACCCAGTTGCTAGGCATCCCAGGACATCTAGGGATTCTGCAAATTGCAACAAATCTCAGAGAGCTCTCTAAACCTGCCAGTCACCTTAACGCACTCCAAACAGATGGGCCAGAACCACAGAATACAAAAATCAAAGTCCAACTTTGGCTTATTTGGTTCCAAAATAATGAGGAAAAAGTCAGTGAAATTTGCCTTCCTGGGGGAAGGGGGTCCCTACAATGGAAACGGACATAAGAGTTCACATAAAAATTTTAAAGTTTACATTCTAAAGTTGATAAGCTCCAGACCAACCCTAGTGAATATGGGATGAATTAGCAGAATTAGCCAGCAATCAAAAAATTAAAGGGGCGCCTGCGTGGCTCCATCAGTTGAGCATCAGACTTCGGCTCAAGTCATGATCTCACAGTTGATAAGTTCAAGCCCCAGGTCAGGCTCTGTACTGACAACTAGGAGCCTGGAGCCTCCTTCGGATTCTGTGTCTCCCACTCTCTGCACCCCCGCCCCTGCTCATGCTCTGTCTCCCAAAAATAAATAAATGTTAAAAAAAATTATTTTTCAAATGTCATTAAAAAGCATTTTTTTAATGGGGTGCCTGCGTGGTTCAGTTGATTACGCGTCTAACTCTTGATTTTGGCTCAGGTCATGATCTTACAGTTTGTGGGACTGAGCCCCACATCAGGCTCTGGGCTGACAGCACGGGAGCCTGCTTGGGATTCTCCCTCTCCCTCTCTCTCTCTCACTCTGTCCCTCCCCTGCTCGTCTCTCTCACTCCCTCTCAAAATAAATAAATAACCTTAAAATACATATCTTTTTAATTTAAGTAGGCGCTGTGCCCAACACGGGGGCTCAAACTCATGACCCCAGATCAAGAGTTGCATGCTCTACCGACTGAACCAGCCAGGCACTCCAAGAAATGTCATTTTTTAATGAAGGCCAAGATATTCTCAGTTCAAACACAGAAACCCTATGGATGCTCTGGTATAAAGTCAGAGCTCAGGAAGGGAATAGAGAATGAGCCTTAGTGCTGATTTCTAGAAACAGAATGCAGTGCCAGGATGTATGAGTGGGTGGGAGGGAGGGGCAGGCTGACAAATGAGCAGCAGGAGTACAGAACTTCCAGATAATGCCACAAGCAGGAACGGTTCACAATGCAGGCCCCTTCTCCATCCTGGGTGGCAGGAGTGACAACATCCACTCAAAATCCACACAAAGTGGGTGACAAAATCCACTCAAAGGTGTGTGGCAGGAGGGAACAGAAAGCTGTTCTTGTGGGTGACTGCAAGCTCAGCCACCAGGGATGGAAGAAA